AATTTTTGTACTCGAATTCAAGAAAGGAGACTGCAAAGAATGCTCCATTTATAGGGACATTACATTACTGACCCTCCCAGATAAAGTCTACGCAAAGGTGCTAGAATGGAGGTGCCGGGAAATATCTGACTCTAAGATACAAGGAGGGCTGTGTGGCTTCCAGCCCGGTCGAAGTACCTCTGATCATATATTTTGCCTACGCCAGATTGTTAAGAAATCGTTGAAGTACTCCCGTCCATTGTACACTTGTTCTGCTGACATTGAGAATGCCTATCACCCGATCCCTCGCCATTGTCTGTGGTCATGCCTGGGAGCATACGTAATAGAAGACGAGCTGCTAAAGGCCACCCAATCACTGTATTCTGATAACAGGTACTGCGTCAGTTTAAATGGCGTGAAGTAGAAACCATTCAAAATTGGCGCTTGTCTCCCCCACGGCTGCGTTCTGTCCCCTAATCTATTTGCGTTGTAAATGGAAAGAATAGTCAGGAGCAGTCAAAGCGATGAGTATATCTGCGTAGGAGATGTGAAGACAGATTTACAGACGGTCTTGTTTTATTGAGATCTTCTGAAACTGATCTACAGTGGTCCCTAAAGGTTCGCATGCGAGTGCGAGTGGGCGCATGTAAAACGAAAAGTCTTGTGCTTTCTCTTTCTGCTGCCCGTTTCTCTCTTCCCATTACCAGAGAGAGAACGAAACATATGGAGAAGTTCAAGTACCTCGGAATTGCATTTATTAGTGATGGAAAATTGGAGGAAGAGATCGACTGGCGAATTGGAGTAGCCAGTGGCGTTCTGCGTGAACTAGCCCCATCCACTGTGACTAAAGCAGAGCTGAGTCTGAAAACTAAGCTCGCAGTATTAAAGTAGGTCTTTATCCCCGTGCCTACGTACGACCAGGACCATGACTCAAGAGTTTCGAACCTGGGTGCAAGCTGCTGAAATGGGTTTTCTTAGAAGAGTCGCTGGCCTTACGCGTCTCTAGAAGGTCCTGACTTGTGACGTGCTGGAGAGCTTTACGTACAGCTTCTGCTTCTGCAGCTTGAGAAGTCGCAGCAGCGATGGTTTGAACGTGTGCTGCGAATGCTTTCGGAAAGAAAGGGTAAGTAACCGTTTCTTGCAAAACCGGAGAACGGCAGAAGAATTAGGGAAACGGCGAAGATTAACCTAGTGGAAATGTATGGAAGGAATATGTTCTAGGCTCCAGCTGTCTTCTGCCGAAGCTGAGACTCTGGTACAGATTCGGGAATGATGGAGCCCGTTCAGACGCGTCTGCCTCCGCGACCCTAGAGAGATGCGGCCATGGACGATATGGATGAAGAAGATGTAGGTTGTTAACAAGCGGTTGGTCACTCTTTCGCTCCATCTTCTATCGCCTATCCTTTTTTATTGTTTTTATTTTCGACTCCCCTCTCTGGCAGCACAGTTCAAAGTATATCTTGTCATATTTTGTGCAATGTTCTTTCATTCCAGCTTACCCATTGCAGTTTAGTTTCGCTGTTAAACTTTTCTTCTCTGTTTCTTTCCTATCTTATGCCCGTAGTATGAACAGTTATGGACTGGTAGGTTCAACAACGTCATAGACTGCATCATTGCCGCTCGTTTCAAGGTTATGACAGCGATAACTGGTAAATATTTCTGGAACTCTGCCGCCATTAATCTTCTGTGTAATGCAGATGCAGATACCATCTTCTTGCAGGATGGCAGTCTTTTGCTCAAGATGTGGCTGCCAGTCGTCTCATTTTCCCATATATTATTCTTTGAGTGGTTCTTTCTCTGCTAAACAAATTAATTGATTTCGGGTCTGTTTGATATGACACACTTCACTATTATTTCAGCACACTATTACTCAAAAGATCTTGGTCATGCAACCATTTCAGAGATTTCATTATTTCTCTGCCTGATCTCGCACATTTAGACTTGAATGGACTTGCGCTAAAAGGCAGGATGGTTGTAGCGTTATCACTTTTGTGCGTCAGAAATGATGTTCCAAACAGACCGTGAAATGCAATTTCAATTCGAGCGGCACTGAATTTTCTT